GATGGACTGGCAGGGATCTACATCATTGCAGATGATGTGCTGATCACGGGTCAGGGGGACACAGATGCTGGAGCAGTACGTGACCATGACAAGAAGCTGAGACAGTTTTTGACTCGTTGCAGGCAGAAAAACATTAAGTTAAACGCAGACAAGTTTAAACTTAAACAGAAGGAAACTACGTACATTGGACATCAGCTGACATGCAACAGTCTGAAAATAGACCCAGAGAAGGTTAGCTCTATAGAACAAATGCCCAGACCTACAGACGTGAAGGCAGTACAGAGACTGTTAGGTATGGTGAACTACTTAGCAAAGTTTTGCCCACATCTGTCTGACCACTGCGACATATTGAGACAACTGACACACAAAGACAGTGAGTGGAACTGGACGACTCGACATGAAGACGCATTTCAGAGACTGAAAGAGGCTATAGCATAGGCTCCAGTCCTGAAATACTACTGCCCAGAGGAAGAGCTGACAGTACAATGTGACGCTTCTGACAAAGGGTTAGGTGCAGCACTCATGCAGACGGGTAAGCCTGTGGCTTTTGCGAGTAGAGCACTTACACGTACAGAGCAAAGTTATGCCCAGATCGAAAAGGAGCTTTTGGCTGTAGTTTTCAGCATGGAGAAGTTTCATCAGTACACATATGGTCGTAAAGTGGTGGTACACAGTGATCACAAACTCTTAGAGACCATTGTAAGAAAACCGCTGTTGAGTGCACCCAAACGGTTGCAAAGGATGCTTATGCGCATTCACAAATATGACATAGATGTGGTGTATGTGCCAGGCAAAGACATGTTATTAGCAGACACGTTGAGTAGGGGATATCTTCCAGAGTGCTCACCACAGGGCTCCATAGAGGAGGAAATAGAGAGCATTAACATGGTCACTCATGCACCCATCTCACCTGACAGACTAAACAGCATAAGGACTGCTACACAAGAGGACAAAGCACTACAGATCCTCATAGATACAATTCACAGAGGTTGGCCGACTGGCAAAAGAGACACTGACGGTGACATCAGACCATACTTCTCATTCCAGGATGAACTGAGTAGTCAGGATGGACTTGTGTTTAGAGGTGAACGTCTTGTTGTCCCGACTACCATGAGACAGGAGATCATAGCTAGACTACACTCGACACACCTAGGTGTAGAAGGTTGTCTAAGGAGAGCCAGAGAGTGTGTGTATTGGTTAGGCGTGAATGAACAAATTAAGACTTATGTGACTAAGTGTGACATCTGCAGGTCAGTTGACTACAGACAGCAGAAAGAGACCTTGGTCCACCTGAGATTCCCGACTAGACCATGGGCTAAGGTGGGCTCGGACCTGTTTATTCTTGACAACAAGGACTACCTTATCACAGTGGACTACTATTCAAACTTCTGGGAAATTGACTATCTCCCGGACACTAAGTCCACCACAGTGATTAGAAAGTTGAAGGCTCACTTTGCCAGACAGGGCATCCCGGACATTGTTGTTTCAGATAATGGACCACAGTATACGTCCGGTGAGTTTCTGAGATTTAGTCGAACTGTGGGATTTCCAGCACAAAACATCTTCACCAGGTTACCCTCAGAGTAATGGGAAGGCTGAATCAGCAGTGAAGACAGCAAAGAGGCTGCTGCTAAAGGCAAAACTGGTGGGGCAGACCCGTATCTTGCGATTCTGGCCCATCGCAACACACCATCACAAGGCCTGGAGACCAGCCCAGCTCAGAGCTGCTCAGCAGGAAGACACAGACGCTTTTGCCAACCAGGACGAGCCTGCTAAGGCCAAAAGTCATTCCAGCCTGCGGGAGTTGGAGATGAAACAGAAAGCGCCAAAAATTGTGCTATGACCAATCAGCACGAACATGGACTCTTTGAAGCTAGGGGACAGTGTCAGAAGTTCAGCCTTTGACCGCCATTCCACTTGGAGCAGGGAGTGGTGATTGGGACTGTTGACCCGAGGTCCTATGAGGTTCAGTTTGGACTCTGGAAGTGTCCTGAGGAGGAATCGGAGGCACCTGAGACATGCAGGCGTGATGGATCAAGAAAAATGCCATGACAGACAGACACTGGGGCACTGAGCAGGTCAGTGACAGCTCCTTCAGAAACTCGTGGGCACAGATCAAGACTGACGAGGTATCAGGGGGTGTCAGGACAAGGTCAGGCTGCAAAGTAGTTCCACCACTTCGGTACAAGGACTATGTTACATAATGAGGACTTCACAGCCTTTATTGTTTGAGGGGACGAGTTGTGTATTCTGTGGAAATTGATGTTCCCTACAGCTTGCAGAAATGTACATGTTGAATAGTGGAATGCTTTTGTATTCTTTGAGTGTTTCATATTGTTTTCTCCCTCAGTAGAAGAAGGACAAATCAAAACAAAAAGGACTTCTGTTTTTTCCAAAAACAGAAAAAGAGAAGGGATGTAATAATGTGAATTATTGTTTGCAAGATGGTTTGTTCCACAATGGATTGTGTTGCTGCACGGACGTTTAGAGTGACACACGAGTAAGGATTGTTAGGCTGTATGTTGCTGTGCACATGGCACAGGACCAATCTGAGTCGCATGACTTGTTAATAAAACTTACTACCCGTTGGGTAGGAAATAGATATTCTGGAGTCTGTCGTGAATGAGACCAGAATAAAACAGTCTCTCTCTATACTATCCAATAAAGACCAAACATCTTTAAACTGACAACAGTTGCCTGTTTAAGCTGCCGTCAAAGAGTTTTCACATTTTGGACACAAATATGAGCCTTTAAACTTTTTTCAGAATGTGGGCTACACATGCTTAGATCTGTTAGATTCTCCACATTAAACTTAATAACTTACACAGCTCAAATAGCATATGTGCTAACACTTTTAGCAGTCTTATATGCTAACCCTACTTTTAAACTCACTGACTCATATTGAAACACTTCAAATTAATCACACACGAGTATTTCCCTCCTGGAAATCTTTAAATATTATTTACTTGTCACTAAACTTGCTAACATTAGGAACAGAGCACGAGATAGTCTGAAGCTCTGTGAAGCTCTTGTTTGTTAACGGTATATGCTGCTTTCAAGTGCAGAACAACAACTATTTGAACTGATCCAACTTTATTAACAGAGACAAAGCTTTGTGCATCAGTTGCTGTTTGCTGCTATAGATATAATCCAGCCGATGTGGAGATTTTCACACTTCTGCTAGAAATCATCTTCTAGTTATTGTGACTCAGATATGACTGATTATAGATGAGGACCAAAGAAGGTTTTTACTGAGATTTGAACTGACTTAGCTTAGCCTGTGTTTTAGCCACATGCTAAACAAACACATGTTCAGAAACTAGAAGATGTTACCTTTCAGATGAAGTCTCACACATGAACTTTGCTCCTACAGTTCATCTGCTGAAGCTTTTACATTTGGGTGGAAATCAAATAAAAACCAAAACAGCCACAAACATCAGACAAGCTAACACTGTAACATTATTGGATGGAGCTACTGAGACTGAACTAGGATATGTCCTTCAACGCACATATTAAACAAATATGTAAGACTGCGTTCTTCCATTTGTGCAGCATCTCTAAAATTAGAAATATCCTGTCTCAGAGTGACGCTGAAAAACTAGTTTATGCATTTATTACTGCCAGGCTGGACGACTGTAATTCATTATTACAGTCTGCAGACTGAGAGACAGCTTCTTTCACCAGGCCATCAGACTGCTGAACACTTCATAGACACCTCAGCTTCACTACTGGAACTTCAACATTATGCACTTCGTACTGTACAGTAATGCCACAGTTTTGCACATGTCTCAACTCTGTATATTTTTATATATTTTATTTTATTGTTTACTCTATTTAATTTGTAAAATATGTATATACACACACACACACACACACACACACAGAAAACATATTTAGTATACACATCCAGAAATGCATATACTATATGCATATATATATATTGTACATATATTTATTAGTTTTCAGATTTAGCCATTCTTATATTTTGCTTGTTTTACGTTATTGGATTTTGCACAACTCTGTTGCTTGTGAAGCTCGCACACAAGAATTTCACTCACATGTACTGTACCAATGTACCTGCACATGTGATGTGACAATAAAAGTGATTTGATTTGATATTATCAGGATGTCCAAAAAACTCGCTGAAAAGCCTTCAGCTAATCCAAAATGCTGCAGCAAGAGTCCTAACAGGGACTAGAAAGAGAGAGCATATTTCTCCTGTTTTGGCTTCCTTTCATTGGCTTCCTGTTAAATCCAGAATTGAATTCAAAATCCTACTCCTCACATACAAGGTCTTAAATAATCAGGCTCCATCTTATCTTAATGACCTTGTAGTACCATATCACCCTATTAGAGCACTTCGCTCTCGCTCTGCAGGCCTACTTGTTGTTCCTAGAGTATTTAAAAGTAGAATGGGAGGGAGAGCCTTCAGTTTTCAGGCCCCTCTTCTGTGGAACCAGCTTCCAGTTTGGATTCGGGAGACAGACACTATCTCTACTTTCAAGATTAGGCTTAAAACTTTCCTTTTTGCTAAAGCATATAGTTAGGGCTGGACCAGGTGACCCTGAATCCTCCCTTAGTTATGCTGCAATAGACATAGGCTGCTGGGGAATTCCCATTATGCATTGAGTTTTTCCTTTCCAGTCACCTTTCTCACTCACTATGTGTTAATAGACCTCTCTGCATTGAATCATATCTGTTATTAACCTCTGTCTCTCTTCCACAGCATGTCTTTATCCTATCTTCCTTCTCTCACCCCAACCGGTTGCAGCAGATGGCCCCGCCCCTCCCTGAGCCTGGTTCTGCCGGAGGTTTCTTCCAGTTAAAAGGGAGTTTTTCCTTCCCACTGTCGCCAAAGTGCTTGCTCATAGGGGGTCATACGATTGTTGGGTTTTTCTCTGTATCTATGAAGCGCCTTGAGGCGACTTTTGTTGTGATTTGGCGCTATATAAATAAAATTGAATTGAATTGAATTGAATCTCCTCCTTGAATCGCTACCTAATCGTGGTGGAGGGGTTTGTGTGTCCCAGGGATCCCAGGGGCTATGTTGTCTGGGGCTTTTGCCCCCTGGTAGGGTCTCCCATGGCAAATTGGTCCTGGGTGAGGGACCAGACAAAGAGCGATTCAGAAGACCCTTATGAAAAGAATATCGAGGGAACAGTTTACCCTGCCCGGGATAGGGTTACCGGGGCCCCGCCCTGGAGCCAGGCCCGGGGAGGGTGCCCGAGGAGGGTGCCCGAGGGCGAGCGTCTGGTGGCCGGGCCTTAGTCCATGGGGCCCGGCCGGGCACAGCCCAAAGAGGAGACATGGGCCCATCCTCCCGCAGGCCCACCACCCGCAGGAGGCGCCATAGGGGTCGGGTACATTGTGTGCTGGGTGGCGGCCAGGAGCGGAGGCCCTGGCGGACTGACCCCGGCTGCCAAGACTGGCAATAGGGACATGGAATGTCACCTCTCTGGTGGGGAAGGAGCCTGAGTTAGTGCGTGAGGTTGAGAGGTACCGGCTAGATATAGTCGGGCTCACCTCTACGCATGGCTTGGGCTCTGGAACCAGTCTCCTGGAGAGGGGCTGGACTCTGTCTCAGTCTGGAGTTGCCCTGGTGAGAGGCGGCGGGCTGGGGTGGGTATTCTAATATCCACTCGGCTTGCTGCCGGTACGTTGGGGTTTTTCCCGGTGGATGAGAGGGTTTGTTCCCTGTGCCTTAGGGTCGGGGAACGGGTCCTGACTGTCATCTGCGCTTATGCGCCGAGTGGCAGTTCGGAGTACCCAGCCTTCTTAGAGTCCCTGGGGGGGGGGGGGGGGGGGTGCTGGAAGGTGCTCCACCTGGAGACTCTGTTGTCCTGCTGGGAGACTTCAATGTTCACGTGGGTAACGACAGCAGGACCTGGAGGGGCGTGATTGTGAGGAACGGCCTCCCTGATCTGAACCCGAGCGGTGCTTTGTTATTGGACAGTTTGGCCATAACGAACACCCTGTTCGAACATAAGAGTGTCCATAAGTGCACGTGGCACCAGGACGCTCTAGACCAAAGGTTGATGATTGAATTTGTAATCGTATCACCAGACCTGCGGCCATATGTTCTGGACACTCGGGTAAAGAGAGGTCCTGAGCTGTCAACTGGTCACCACCTGGTGGTGAGTTGGATCAGGTGGCGGGGGAGGACGCTGGACAGACCTGGTGCACCTAAACGCGTAGTGAGGGTGTGCTGGGAACGCCTAGCAGAGGCCCCAGTCCACGAGATCTTCAACGCACACCTCCGGCAGAGCTTCAACAGCATTCCGAGGGAGACTGGGGACATTGAGTCCGAATGGACCATGTTCAGCGTCTCCATTGCCGAAGCTGCTGCATTGAGCTGCGGCCGCAAGGTGGTTGGTGCCTGCCGTGGTGGTAATCCCCTAACCAAATGGTGGACACCAGAGGTGAAGGGAGCCACCAGGCTGAAGAAGGAGTCCTATCGGGCTTGGCTAGCCTGTGGGACTCCGGAGGCAGCCGACAGGTATCGACAGGCCAAGCGGAATGTGGCTCGGGCAGTGGCTGAAGCAAAAACTCGGGTGTGGGAGGAGTTCGGAGAGGCCATGGAAAAAGACTTTCGGACTGCCTCGAAGAGATTCTGGCAAACCGTCAGGCGTCTCAGGAGGGGAAAGCGGTGCTCTACCTGCACTGTGTATAGTGCTGGCGGAGCGCTGCTGACGTCGACTGAGAAAATTGTCAGGCGGTGGAAGGAATACTTCGAGGACCTCCTTAATCCCACTGACACGTCTTCCGAGGAGGAAGCAGAGTCTGGGGATGAGGGGAATGACCCGCCAATTTCCGGGGCGAGGTCACTGAGGCAGTTAAACAACTCCTTGGTGGCAGAGCCCCTGGTGTTGATGAGGTCCGCCCCGAGTTCCTGAAGGCTCTGGACGTTGTAGGGCTGTCCTGGTTGACACGCCTCTGCAATGTTGCGTGGAGATCAGGGGCAGTACCTGTGGACTGGCAGACCGGGGTGATTGTCCCCATCTTTAAGAAGGGGGACCCGAGGGTGTGTTCCAACTACAGAGGGATCACACTCCTCAGCCTCCCTGGGAAAGTCTATGCCAGGGTGCTGGAAAGGAGAGTTCGTCCGCTAGTCGAACCTCGGATACAGGAGGAACAATGCGGTTTTCGTCCTGGTCGCGGAACACTGGACCAGCTCTTTATCCTCTCGAGGATACTTGAGGGTGCATGGGAGTTTGCCCAACCAGTCTACATGTGTTTTGTGGACTTGGAGAAGGCATTCGACCGTGTCCCTCGGGGTGTCCTGTGGGAGGTGTTGCGGGAGTATGGGGTGTCTGGCCCATTGTTACGGGCCATTCGATCCCTATACAACCGTTGCAAGAGCTTGGTTCGCATTGCCGGCAATAAGTCGGACTCGTTCCTGGTGGGTGATGGGCTCCGCCAGGGCTGCCCTTTGTCTCCGGTTCTGTTCATAATTTTTATGGACAGGATTTCTAGGCGCAGCCAAGTGGCTGATGTCATGGTCCTGGGTCCCCTGACCCAGCGTTTTTAGTTCCTTGTGATGTTTGTAATATTGTACTTGTGTGAGTTATTCTATGGTTTCTAGTTTCGATCCCTTGCCCTTCATGTTTCTCTGTGTCCCCTCTGTTCTGTGTAGTCTGTGTCTGCATGTTTGAGTTCCCCTCTGTGTCTCTCGGTTCTTAGAGTCCTCTGCCTTATGGTTTATGTCTCTGTGTTTCTTAGTTGCTGTCTCCACTGTGTCAAGTTTGCGTCTCTGTATGATACTTCCTGTTATACTTTGATGGTCCGTGTCTTATGTGAATGTGTCCTGCTTTGCTTGTCTCGTCAGTCCTGATTTCTCCCAGCTGTGCCCTCCTTCTGTGTCTCATTCCCCTCGTTACTTCCCAGTGTATTTAAACCCTGTGCTTCTCTGAGTCAGTGTCGCGTCGTCCCTCATGCTGTGTGGATCTCCTTGTGTCTCTCTGTGAGTGCTTAGTTTGTTGTTCCCAGTTTAGTTTGTCTGTTTTTTCCCTGCCAGCAAATAAATCTTTGTTTTGAGTTCACCTCCCCGAGTCTGTGAGTCCTGCAATTTGGGTCCAACTCCTGCCTGCCGCACAGCGATTCATGACAGCTGAGGGCTTTCGCTTTGGTGGCCTCAGAATCTCATCTCTGATTTTTGCGGATGATGTGGTTCTGTTGGCTTCATAGGGTGAGGGCCTCCAGCTCGCACTGGAGCGGTTCGCAGCCGAGTGTGAAGCAGCGGGAATGAGTATCAGCACCTCCAAATCTGAGGCCATGGTTCTCAGCCGGAAAAGGGTGGAGTGCCCACTCCGGGTCGGGGATGAGTTCCTGCCCCAAGTGGAGGAGTTCAAGTATCTCGGGGTCTTGTTCGCGAGTGATGGGAGAAGGGAGCCGGAGATCGACAGACGGATTGGGGCTGCAGCTGCAGTAATGCGGATGTTGCACCGGTCCGTCGTGGTGAAGAGGGAGCTGAGTGTAAAAGCGAAGCTCTCAATTTACCGGTCAATCTACGTTCCTACCCTCACCTATGGCCACGAGCTGTGGGTAGTGACCGAAAGAACGAGATCGCGGCTACAAGCGGCAGAAATGAGCTTCCTGCGAAGGGTGGCTGGCCTCTCCCTTAGAGATAGGGTGAGAAGTTTGGCCATCCGGGAGGGGCTCAGAGTAGAGCAGCTGCTGCTCCACATCGAAAGGAGCCAGCTGAGGTGGTTCGGGCATCTGACAAGGATGCCCCCTGGGCACCTCCTGGGTGAGGTGTTCCAGGCATGTCCCACCGGGAGGAGGCCCCGGGGCAGACCCAGGACACGCTGGAGAGATTATATCTCTCGGCTGGCCTGGGAACGCCTTGGTGTTCCCCTGGATAAGCTGGAGGAGGTGGCTGGGGAGAGGGAGGTCTGGGCCTCTTTGCTTAGGCTGCTGCCCCCGCAACCCGGCCTCGGATAAAGCGGATGAAGATGGATGGATGGATGGATGAATTGAATTGAATTGAACCACCATCATGAGTCTGACCTCTGACCTTTGACCTGTATCTACAGCACTGACCTCTGACAGTGAGCAGCACTTCTTTCTTCATCAGAATGTTTCCCTTCCTGTTGTAGATGGTGCAGATGTAGGTGGAGTTGTCTCCATCTGTGGGGTGTTTCAGGGTCAGACTGAGGTCTCCAGGTTCCAGTAAGTTTCTTTTCATCTTTGTTCGGTTCTTGTATTCATCGTCCTGTTCTTCAGGCTGGTCAGAGCCGTTCTCATACACGTGGACCTTCCTGTCATCTCTGTCCTTCCACTCCACTTTAGCGTCTTTAGGCAGGCGAAGTGTGGTTTTGCAGGGCAGCACGACAGACTCCATCCCTGAGTCTACCACCACCTGGTAAACTGAGAGGACAACAAAGCACAACATGATGACATCAGCAGCAGCTGTGATGGTCACATGACCTCCCTGTCCCCTCATTGTCTTCTAGTCTCAGTCAGATTGTGTCTCAGTTTGTTCCTGATGTGTTCCTGACTCGTTCTTTGGTAACTAGTCTGCAGCATCCTGTAAAGTGCTCCAGACATGTTGGATGAAGAGCAGAAGAACAGACTGAGCCTCCACAGTCGGCCATGTCTCACACACATCAGCACAAAAACCATGAAGATCTCATGTGTCTGCTCTGAACATCTGAAGCTCTCCACCACATGACTGAGCACAACTCAAGGAGGAACATTTACTGAAGCTGCTGCAACATTTACTGTCAGCACATGTTTCCATGTCAGCCTGCTGTTTACCACCACAGAAGAAGAACAGCTTGTACATGTCACTACCTGATCCGCACCACGCATGTGCGAAAGGTGACTACTTCCACTCGAAGCATTTCACGATAGTTACGGGTCAGAGTATCTGTTAAGATGTTATCAATATTAAGTATCTTTCAATATTAAGTATGTTATCAATATTAAGTATCTCTTAAAATGTCTGCAATAATGATCTGTTTCTACAGCACTGACCTCTGACATGGTGCAGCACTACTTTCTGTCTCAGGATATCTTTGTCCCTGTAGATGGTGCAGATGTATCCTCCACTGTCTCTCTCTGTGGGGTATTTCAGGGTCAGGCTGAGGTCTCCAGTTCTCAGCAGGTCTTCATTCATCTTAGTGCGACCACAGTAAAGGTTGTCCTGGTTCTTAAGGTTGTCACTCCTGTTTGAATACACATGGGCTACCATGAGTTCTGGGTCAGAGCGAGTCCACTCCACTGTGGTGTCCTCAGGCAGGTCAGGTGTTGTTTTGCAGGGCAGGATGACAGACTCTGAGCCTTCCTCCACCTTCACCTCCACCTGCTGGTCTGAGACAACAATGAACCACAATATCAGTTGTAGAGATTTCTATGGGCAATGCATGGTCGATTTTCCCACAGACAACCACACTGGCCTCCATGTGGAACAGAGGCCAACAGTGAGTATTGGTTCCCACCTCTAGCCTACACAGGCCCCAAGGGTAAAACTTTTCTGTGAGCGTCAGTAGTCATGGTAACTGAACTGCATATGTACATTTTTTTCTTTTTGGGTCTGTCCTGCACACAGTAATACAATATAATAATTATAAAATAATATAGTTTGACTCTCTCTTTTTGGGAATGACAATTCAATTGGAAGAAATTCCTGCAAAAACATTTTATTCGTAATTTTGCATTGCATTTGTTCACAATTTGGTACTTTGCACATTACCAGCTGGTGAGGTCATGGCTACACTGTCCCCATGGACACCAGAAAACATTAATTCGAGTTTGTCATATTTTACAGTGAAGGCTCCCACAATCATATAACCTCCTATGAGGAGGTTATCATGGGTCGTAGACTGTCTCAAACCATCACTCATAAGGCTACTCTGTTCATACAAACCACCAAAACACTAATAACACATTTACACGGCTGCTGTAAACCCTTCCTGTCTGAAATGCGCAGTTTCCAAACTCTGAAACTTTTCCATATTTTTGGAGTTTCTTACCAAGGAGTAGGAACGGCAGCAACTTTTTCATCATTCTTCAAAGCAGAACAGCCAGCACAGAGTCCTGATCACTCCACTCATAACTGAGTGAATCCACATCTTAACACTCAGCCATTCCTGCCTCACTGCTAACGAACAGAGAGTATTTCCTGCCCAATCTCTGATCCAGTAAACCGGTTCAACATGCTCCGAGTCTTAGTCTGAACTTGAAGTTGATAAACTCTCTGGGGCGTGGGTGGTGCATGAGTCACCGTGGAAAGAGCAGAGCCTCCATTTGGTTTCAGTTTGGATCATGTTTATCCTTTCATTTAATTAAAGAACCACATAAGTTTGAAATAATGTCACATATTTATCAGAGAACCATCAGCGGCTGATACGCAACATTAAGGTGGATGTGAAAAAAATACCGCTGGTCTCCAGGTGTGGCTGGTTGTGGGAGAAGTGCTCAGGGACCCTCCCCAAAGTGCAACACCACAAAAACATGTTGCTGCTTCACTCACATACAGTGGCGTTTCTCCCAGATCACTTTATACTGCACGGCCATCTAGTCCTATCGATCATTCTGATGTGATGAATAAAAATGTGAATTTTTTTAATTAGGAGAATTATTAAATAATTTCTTCTTACCGTGAAAATATAAAAGTTCCTCAGTACCTGCTTTTTTCCTCAACATTTTTACTAATATATAAATTTACAGTGATGAACTCGATACACTTTGAGGAAGTAATTTAAAGTAGACGTCCATTAAAAACACAGTCACCAAACTTTATTGTGTTTTGTTGGTGTTGCACTTTGTAGATGGCCTTAATAATGAAGATGAGTGTGGACTTTTATTGGTGCTTATACCACGATGGTGTCAGGGCCACAGCACTCGCATGTATGGAAGGGATAGACACCTGTAATTCATATCTCAGAGCAAAACAATCAAATATTATCACATCTCTGTATTTAATATTCTACCCAAAAATACCAAAAAAATAAAAATTGATAATACAAGTTTATTTTCATCACATAAACATGTAAATAATCTCCACAGTACTGTAGATGACAGACTGATGAAGGAGTCCTCAGAAGGATTGAGTTTAACAGCCATTTGCCTTCATGACACATTGCTCAGAGATTTTGGTCCATGTTGAAAATGTATTTTTCTGTAAACCACAGAGAGGGTTTGGAAACAGCAGGTCAGCATTTTCTGAAATAGCAGCCTGGCTTATTTAAACAGCCACACTTGTTGGGGTTGAAAATGATTAAATAAAGCCGTTTTATTATTTTTATATACACAATGCCGTGCGTTTGTAATCGAGTTGGTGATTCGTGTTTTTAGGGTCAACAGCTTCATCCAGAGCTATGACTGGGCTGAAATATTGAAGAGCAGACGTAGAGTGATTAAGGGTCCTTTTGCTGCATGCTTACACATCACACTAGATAATGGTTATAAAGATATTCTCTGGACCAAAGGGAGTCTGAACAGAATGTCCTGAACTAGATCTTAGAATCAGCAGCAGGATAATATTAAATAATGAAGGCTAGGCAGGAAGGTGATTTTCTTTTCTCTTTCTTACAGAGGAAGGAGCAAATACGAGGCGAATTTGGACATGAACGAAGAAAGGATCCGTAGGGATACAGCAGACTGCCATGTTGGTTCTGGAAGAAGATGGACATAATAATGCTTGTTATTGTCGCAGTATAAAAACTGTACGGCCCAATCAGAATCATCCTTTGTGTGAAGACAGATGGTTGATTTCACACAGAGGTCCAGTGCTGTAACTTGTACTTTCACCCACTGAAGCAAATAAATCTTTTTAAAATGTCAGATATTTTTTCTGTACTTCCTTCTGAAAAAACTTGAACACCTCTGAGAGAGGTTACACCTCTGTCACAGTTTCCTTTACTTCACTTTGAGTTCAGTCTGAAACACTGTCTGAGACCAGAAAAATAAAGAGTGGAGAGCCGCTTCACCAAGAGGTCTCTTCTCGTCTGCTCGTGTGTTTTGTGGATCACAGAGTTCCCAGTTTCTCTGACTGCTGACTGTTTCTGATAGGAAACCCTTAACACTAGGAGTCCCAGGCTTCTACCTTTCTACCTATAAAACCCGCCACCAGCCAAATGGCTGGTAGGCTTTTAGCTAAGCTTTAGCTTCAGCCAAGTGGAAGCTAAATTGGCTAGTCATTCATATGTATATTAGGTAGTTAAAAAGGAATTCAGGAGGGAGGGGAGTGGGGGTGTGTGGATGAGGGGGTGGGGGAGCTGCTAAAAGCTGTGAACTTCCTTTTGTGTTTCATCTTGATGCATTCTCAATCATCCAGGGAAATAAATCTCCAAAAGTCACCAACTTGGAGTGTTTCAGTTTGCCATCTTAGGGAGAAATCAACACACATGGGTGTTTGTCCTTTGTTGCTGAGATTTATTGATAAAAACAGTACAAAAAACCAACCATTTGTACACATATTTACAAATAATAATGAGAAACAAACTTACTAATAAGCTGTTGAACTGCCGGTCAAACAGATATTTCTACTGTGTCAGAGATGATGAATGTTTCCGTGTTCCTCTTTATATTTTCCATCAGTACACACACGTCATGACATTGCTCAGTCAATCAGCTGCACAATATACACAATATAGAGTTTAAATGTAAATTAAAAATATAAAAATGTAAAAAGCATTGGTCAACAGAAAGCTTGTTTGAACAGTAAAGTTTTTAACTGCTTTTTAAAAGATTCCACAGAGTCAACCAAACGTAGTTGTAGAGGTAGACTTTTCCACAGCATTGGTGCCACAGACCCCTTTCGTCTTCAGACGTGTTCTGGGAGAAACAAACAAACTCTTAGTCTGTGAGCGGAGACGGCGAGCAGTAGTGTATTTTGTGAGAAGCTTGGATAAATAATCTGGGGCTTGGCCATTTAGTGCGCTGTACGTTAAAACAATAATTTTAAAACAAATTCTAAAATCTATTGGGAGCCAATGTAAAGAACATAAAATAGGAGTGATGTGAGCTCGCTTGCTAGAGCAAGTTAGTAGTCTGGCTGCTGCGTTTTGTATAGCTTGGAGGCGAGAAAGTGATGATTTATCCAAGCTGGTAAACAGGGAATTATAATAATCTAAACGCGATGACACAAATGCATGGACAATTTTTTCCAGTTCAGCTAAGGAGACCATATGTTGCAGTTTAGAAATATTCCTTAAATGAAAGAAACAGGAACAAGACAGAGATTTTACGTGTATATGACTAGTTAGGAGTGAGAACGTGTTGATGTAGCATGTAGTGGAGGTGGAACTCCTTTCTAAAGCTTTTCTAACATCAGCTACAATCAACAAACAACAACAAAACAAACTGGATGAGCAGGATTCCAGTGAACTTACTGTGATCGTGGGTAATGCTGCAAACCTTTATCACATTTTCACAGAAAAGAAACTAAATATATATCCTCCTTTAAAAAACACACACAATGAAACACAGACATACTTATTTATGATAAGATCCACAGAGAGAGAGCCAAGCACGTACACAACATAGCATTGATGAGAAAAGAGTAAGAATATACAATCACAGGTTTACATAAGTACACAGTTGCGACTGAGGCCCTGATCAAATGTTCAAATAAACTGATCATAAAGTCTGTGTCTCTGTTTTATTTCAGGGAGTGCTGAGGAGGGTCTAACATGAAGTCACAGTCGTGCTCTCTGGACAAGATGTGGCTCATTTTCTCACATTTGTACAGCTTTTGGGATGTCAGAGTGCTGCACTCATCAATGCATTTGACTTCATCAACTTCAACTTCATCTTCAGGTGTGTGTGAGAAACCAACTCACCATAAACTGTTGAACTGCATGCCAGTGAAACAGAGACATTTTTGTTATTTGTGTGTGTCAGAGAAGATGAATGTTTCAGCGCTTCTCTTTACATTTCCCTTAAATACACAACTTTGTGTGTGTTTGTGACACTGACTCAACTGTCATCCCCTTTTCTCCTGTACAGCTAGTGCACATCTATAAAGGAGAATCAGAAAAATAAAACTTTTTTTTCTTAATGTGTCACTTACTCTCTATGGTACAGATCTGGGTCCACTCTGCAGTCATTCGACCCTCCAGTACTAACTAGAGATGGCACGATACCATGTCCGAGACGATACTGATATCATAAATTTGGATACCGATATGAATCCGATATAGTGTTTTTTCAATCAATAAAACAGTTTATTTAAAATCTTGCTGCTTTTTGTATAAAAAAATGGTAAATGGCCTGTATTTGTATAGCGCTTTACTATGGACCACAAAGCGTTTTACACTACATTTTGTCATCCACCCATTCACACACACATTCACACACTGGTGATGGCAGCTACATTGTAGCCACAGCCACCCTGGGGCGCACTGACAAAGGCGAGGCTGCCGGACACTGGTGCCACCGGGCCCTCTGACCACCACCAGTAGGCAACGGGTGAAGTGTCTTGCCCAACGACACAACGACCGAGACTGTTGGAGCCGGGACTCGAACCAGCAACCTGCTCAATCAACGTAATCAACTTTAATTTAATGCATGTATAAAAAATTGAACCGAAATCGATTATATTCCTACAATAATTAAATAGATTCAAAATCTTTCTACAACAGAACTGCAGACTGCACAGATGGCACCTTCCCAAAGGAAAAAGTACTACAGCTTACTAGGGTATATTAGACTTAATAGTTACTATATACAGTAATGGATTTCTATACATTTTACATCAGATTAAAACTTTGGTTGTAAGATTCAGATAACTATTTATTAAAAGCTAGACATTTTAAATGAAAATAAGAAAGAAAGATATTTCTTTGTGCCCCCTTTCCCTGTTGATGCCCCACCTGCCCCCCTGGCAAAACTTTGCTAGACAAACTTGCTTTAGTTCTTGGGATAACTTTCTGGGAGATGAAATATTGGTTTGGTAGCGAGGCTCCAAATGCTCAACCCGACTGCCGACAGGTCTCGCACGCCACAGCTGCTCTATCACGTGAGGCATACTGCTAAGGTTATGAGCTGAGTTACGCTATGGGATATTTAATGGATCGGATTACATTTTTTATTTCTCTCCGATATCCGATCCAGTAATTTAGGTCAGTATC